TTAATTAATTATGCAAATTAGGTAATTAATATGTACTGATATTACCATAAAAACTATCAGGTCTGTGCAGTGTCGTATGACATCTATGTACCAAGTTTCATTGAAATGTGATGATTAGTACTTGAGATATCAGTGGAAAAACCGAAAATTGACTAATCATTATGCAAATTAGGTAATTAGTATCCACGGATTATTACCAAAAACTAATCAAAACCTAGCATTAGTTCAGAGCATCTATGTACCAAGTTTCATCAAAATCCAATGAGTGGTTGTTTAGATATCAGTGGAACAGTCATGGAACCACTAAAAAATAGCTAATTATCATGCAAATTAGGTAATTAATATGCACGGATTTTTACCAAAAATTAATCAAATCTGCGCATATGTTCAGAGCATCTATGTACCAAGTTTCATCAAAATCCAATGAGTGGTTCTTTAGATATCAGTGGAACAGTCATAGAACAGCTAAAAATTAGCTAATTATCATGCAAATTAGGTAATTAACGAGCATGGATTTTTACCAAAACCTAATCAAATCTGCGCATTGGCCCAGAGCATCTATGCACCAAGTTTCATCAAAAACCGATGTATGGTTCTTGAGATAGCAGTGGAACAGTCGGACACACATACACACATACACACATACACACATACACACATACAGACACACTAACTGCAAAGACTCCCATTTTGTGCTTCGCACATGGGAGTCAAAAAGAACGTGCAACAAACCGGGATAGAAATTTAGATCGGGGAACCCTATTGCCCATTAATATGCTCCAAGACAGTGCTGCGACCTAGCAACGCTTGTCAGTGTAGAACGCGTGTCGCTGTACGTGTGAAAATAAAATAATCAGACGTCTAATTTAGTCATTGTCCGAATAAATAACTCATGGATGTTTAAGCGCGGTGGTCGTAGCGCAGCGCGTGTTCGAATTCATGTAAATAAACAATGTATTTTACACGCGTTGTATACGTCGCTATGAGTCCCATATTGAACAGGACGCGACACGACGACTGTCGCCCTTTAGTTGGGACCACGACAGAACCAGAACTTAAACTGGGCGACTACGATACACGGTTGATGTTGAAGTTAAAAGTTCCTCCACAGATCTGTGCATTGGCAAACATGCCGTGCAACTGCAGTACTCCACTGACGGAATGACTTTCGTTGAAATCGGTCGTCGCTGACTCGTGAGCTGCACACTACAACCTCGTTTGTGATGTTGCTTGCTTGTCGTGGATGGACTGAGTCTTGGTTACCGGTTAAATTTTGCTAATTTGGCGTTGGTAATCTTTATTTGGAACCGAGTAACGCCGCAACGTCGCCAACAGAAACCTCATGGTATATCGATGTTGATGGTTGCGGCTCCATATTAATCGGAGATTTCACTGCGGGTCCAGACAGCGGGTGGATCTTCCGAGAGCCCTTCAAGATTTATAAAACTCAGATTCCAGGTGGTCAACAAACATTAAGTTCTCCCAATCCTAGTATTCTATGTGATGTACATCTAACATGCCAAAAATGCTGGTGAACGATTTGAACCTGACAAAAATACTTGAAATAGATACCAGGAAGGGGAGGGGGGTAAAAGAAAAGTTATATAACATTTTATTATTCAATAATTTATTAAAATACATAAGTTTGTCCAACTCCCTGTGATACAA